GAGGAGAAGGCGGATGAGGAGGGGGAGGAGGAGAAGGATTAGAAGGAGCAGAAGGAGGAGGAGGAGGAGGAGGAGGAGGGAAGAGGGTGGAGGAGAAGGAGGAGGAGGAGGAGAGGGAGAGGGAGGAGGAGAAGGAGGAGGAGGACGAGGAGGAGGAGAAGGGGGAGGAGGAGGCGCGGTGGGAGAGGAAAGAGTATGAGGAGGAGTTGGACGACGATGACAATGACGATGACGACAACGACGACGATGTCGACGACGACGACGAGGATGATGATGATGATGATGATGATGATGATGATGATGATGATGATGATGATGATGATGATGAGGATGCTGATGCTGCTGCTGCTGATGATGATGATGATGATGACGATGATGATGATGATGATGACGATGATGAGGATGAGGATGAGGATAATGCTGATGCTGCTGCAACTGATCATGAGGCTGAGGATGCTGCTGCTGATGATGCTAGTAATGATAATGGTAAGGATGATAATGAGGATGACGATGGCGATGACTATGACGATGATTTCGCTGATGATGATGACGATACTGATGATGCTGATGATGGCGATGATGATTCTGAAGATGCTTAGGATGCTGATGCTGATGTTGATGCTGCTGATGGTGATGATGAAGAGATGATGGTCATGGTTATCATGACGATAGTGGTGATGCTGATGACGATGCTCCTCATGATGATGATGAAAACGCGATCGTGCTGTGGTGATGATTTTGCTAAGCATGATGGTGCTGATGATTGTGATTATGATGATGATGGTTGTGATGGAAATGATGCTGATGATGAGGTTGAGGATGATGTGGTGATTGTTGATGATGATGATGGTGATGCTGTCGACGCTGATGATATTGGCGATGATGTTGATGATGATGATGATGGTGATGATGCTGCTGCTTATGAACGTGAGAGTGATGGTGATGATGATTGTGATGCTGCGGATGAAGATGCTGCTGATGATCATGCTGATGATGATAGTGATAACGGTAACGCTAATAACGATGCTGATGCTGCTGATGATGTTGATGGTGCTGCTGATGATAGTGAGGAGGATGACGAGGATACTGATTATAACGATGCTGGCAATGATGACGACGATGATGATGATGTTGATGCTTATGATGCTGATGATGCTGATGACGAGTAGGATGATGCTGATTATGATGATGATGATGATGATGAGGATGATGATGATAATGATGATGATGATGTTGGCGATTGTGATGGTGATGGTGATGATCATGATTAGGATGCTGTTGTTGTCGTCGTCGTTGCCGTTGCCGTTGTCGTTGTCGTTGTCGTTGTCGTTGTCGTTGTCGTTGCCGTTGTTGTGGCTGTTGTGGTTGTTGTGGTTGTGGTTGTGGTTGTGGTTGTGGTTGTGGTTGTGGTTGTGGGTGTGGTTGTTGTGGTTGTGGTTGTGGTTGCGGTTGTGGTTGTGGTTGTGGTTGTGGTTGTGGTTGTGGTTGTTGGTATTGTTGTTGTTGTCGATCTCGATATTGTTGTTGTTGTTGTTGTTGTTGTTGTTGTTGTTGTTGTTGTTGTTGTTGTTGTTGTTGTTGCTGTGGTTGATTTTCCACTACTGGCGAGATTTGTTGACCCCCCTCTGGGGCACATTTTTTTTGCAATTGAAGTGCCCCTCCCGTGGCTCGCACCCTGCTTTTTATCAGGGCAAGACTTGTGTCTCAGAATTGTGCCCCTGGCCCCCGAGTTTCAACAACAACGGCTCCCGCCTGATACTTCCTCACAACGTAATCCCCCAATCGCGCTCTCGCGCGGGAACCCCTTACAATTCATCAGGAAGCGCGCTCTCGCGTGGGATTTCCCTGCATCCTTGCAGTGTGTTCGAACACCGCGCCCTCGACGCTCAGGAATCGCGCTCTCGCTCTTGGCCCATCTCATGATTTCTTCGGGAATCGCGCTACCGCCCAAGACTGCTCGACGCGTTCTCGAGGGGCGCGCCCCCCCGAACGGTGCAGCAACAGCGCGGGGCCGCCGTGCGGACCCTGCCACTGAGGAGGAGGAGGAGGAGGAGGAGGAGGAGGGAGGAGGAGGGGAGGAGGAGGAGGAGGCGAGGAGGGGAGGAGGAGGAGAGGAGGAGGAGGAGGAGGAGGAGGAAGGAGGGAGGAGAGGAGGGGGAGGAGGGGGGAGGAGGAGGAGGAGGAGGAGGAGAGGAGAGAGGAGGAGGAGGGGGGAGGAGGAGGAGGGGAGGAGAGGAGAAGGATGAGAAAGAGGATAAGGAGAAAGGAGGAGGAGGGGGAGGAGGAGGGGGGAGGAGGAGGGGGAGGAGGAGGGGGGAGGAGGGGGAGGAGGAGGGGGAGGAGGAGAAAGATGATTCAAGCAGGACGCGCGCCTCAGCAGCCCGCCTGCTCGACCTGGCCGCCCGGGCGCGCCCACCCGACCCGCCCGTTCGGGTCCACCCGCCCGACTTGCCCGTCTGGTTCTGCACGTTCCTTCTGCTCCTATCACCCTCGTCAAAATTAGCCTCAACAGTTGCTGGCACGCCATTTCGATTTTTTCTCGCTCACGAGCTTGAGAAGGAAGGTGCAGGGAAAGGGGACGACGGAGGCGACGACCGACGGAGACGACGACTCGAACAGCCAAGCCCCTCGCACACGCCGACAGGGTCGGCGGATTACCCTCGTCAAAATTAACCTCAACAGTTGCTGGCACGTCATTTCGATTTCGGCGCGTCCCTCAATGTCGACACGCCGCCCCTTCAATGTCGGGGCGAGGGCAAAGATAGTCTGACCGAAGTTGACTCGAAAGTTTGACGTCGACCGACATTGGAGGGGCGGCGCATGCAAGTACCCCGCACTCATCGATACTCGGCCCCAGATCTTCCGACAAGCAGTTCAACCACGTCAGACATTTTTGAGGTTAATTTTGACGAGGGTTGTAGCCCCTCTCCTGCTACTCTCTCTAGTCGGGGGTCTACAGACCTCCTACCCTGACGCGTCGATTCAGGAATTGGCCGTTTTCGGTTCGCGATGGGGGCGTCGCGGCCGTCGTTTTTGCGGGTCCAGGTCCGTCGGTTTCGGTCCCAGGCCGTTTGCTAAAGGGAGGTTTGTCCACCGCCGATCTAGTGCTCCATCCTCCTCCCTCCCCCATGTTCCGTTCTTCCATCTTTCTTTTCGTCCCCTGCATCAGGGCCAGCATGGTATACACGGTGCAGGTAAGAGAGATATACTCCCAAGGGGGTATGATCGAAGACGAAGACGGCGGGTATCGCGGGTTTGGGGTATACGTGTTGAATGGCACGCGTGCAGATAAGAGCAAACAGTGTTAAATTGATTAGTATTGTTGTCGTTGTCGTCGTCGTTGTTGTTGTCGTCGTCGTTGTCGTTATCGTTGTCTTTGTTATCGTTGTTGTTACTTTTGTCGTTGTCGTTGTCGTCGTCGTCGTCGTCTTCGTCTTCGTCGTCGTCGTCGTCGTTGTCGTTGTCGTTGTCGTTGTCGTTGTCGTCGTTGTTGTTGTTGTTGTTGTTGTTGTTGTTGTTGTTGTTGTTGAGTTCTCATTTCGCAAGAAAAATAGATTCCCAAATCGCGCTCTCGCGCGGGAGTTCCTTACAATGTATTCACACGCCGCGCCTTCGACACTCAGAAATCCCGCTCTTGCTTTGGATTTCCTGACGATTTCTTCGGGAATCGCGCTATCGCTGGAGACTCGCGATTCATGCAGGACACACGCTTCAGCAACCCGCCTGCTCGACCTGGCCGCCTGGGCCCGCCTTCCCGACCCGCCCGGTAGGGTCTACCCGCCCGACCTGCCCGTTTGGTTTCGCCACGTTCTTTCTGCTCCTAGCCCCCCTCCTGCTCTCTCTCGTGCTCTATCCTCCTCCCTCCCCCTTGTCCCTTCCTTCCGTCCTCTCTTCCCCTGCCTGAAGGGGCTGCGTGAATTACACGTTGCAGGTGAGAGATATATCTTTGAGGGGGTACGGTCGTAGACGAAGAGGGCGGGTATCGAGGGTGTGGGATATGCGTGTTGAGTGATAAGAGCGAGCTCGTAACCTGATTGTTGTTTCGGTTGTTGTTGTTGTGGTTGTTGTTGCTGTGGTTGAATTCTCGTTTCTAACTTATGATTACTGTTGACCCCCCGCTCCGGTAACTATTGTGTTTTTGCAGTGAACGTGCGGGTTCCGGGGCTCGCACCTTGTTTTTGGCAAATGAAAGTGTGGGGTCACCTAACTGTGCCCCTTGCCCCGGGTTCACAACAACAGCGGCTCCCGCTTGATACTTCCTCACAATTTATTCCCAAATCGCGCTCTCGCGCGGGACTTCTTTACAATGTATTCGGACGCCGCGTTTTCGACACTTAGGAATCCGGCTCTCGCTTTGGTTTTTTTTTGGGGCGATTCTTTTGGCAATCGCGCTATCGCTCGAGATATCCTCGCGATTCATGCAGGCCGCACGCTTCAGCAACCCGCCTTCCCCTTGTCCCTTGTCCCTTCCTTCCATCCCTCCTATTTTCCCCCGCCTTAAGGGCTGCACAAAAAACACGTTGCAGGTAAGAAAGATATACCCCTAAGGGGGTACGGTCGCAGACGAAGAGGGTGGGTATCGATGGTTTGGGATGTACACGTTGACTGGCACGCGAGCGGATAAGAACAAACAGTTTTCAAGTTATTGTTGTTATGATTTTGGTTGTTGTTGTTACCGTCGCTGTTGCTGTTGCTGTTGCGGTTGTTGTTTTTTCATTGTTGTTGTTGTTTGTATTACTGTTGTGTTCCTTGTGATTGTCGTTGTTGTTGTTCTTGATGATGTTATTACTGCTGACGTTGTTTTTGCTGCTGCTGTTGTTGTTGTTGTTGTAATTGTTGCAGTTTTAGTTGTGGTATTGGCAGCAGTAGCAGTAGTAGTAGTAGTAGTAGTAGTAGTAGTAGTGGTAGTAGTAGTAGTGGTAGTAGTAGTAGTAGTAGTAGTAGTAGTTAGTAGTTAGGAGTAGTAGTAGTAGTAGTAGTAGTAGTAGTAGTAGTAGTAG